GCGGGTATATAAGGCCAAGCACCGTGTCCGTTGACCACAGATCTCCCTCACTCGGCCTTCACAACTACGCCAAGATGAAACTGATCGTTAGTATTTACTGCACTGGTTTTCATCTGTATTGTATTTGCTTAGGCATTCCCACTGCACTGGTTTTAAAAGAGGAATGGACGTTAGTTTGGTTGAATACTAATGTTGGAATGCGATTAGTTTTTAAGCACTAGCTTATTTTCCTTGCTTCAGGTGCTATCACTGTTGGTAGCAACATGCTACGCGGCTCCGCAGCTTTATCACACGGTGGCAGGAACTGTGAAGATTCCTGAACCAGGAGTTAACTTGGGAATGGTATTAACCGCCCCTGAAACCCCCATGCCGTCCCTCAGCATCCCTCACGGCGGCCCCAGCGCCCGTGCGGAGTCCAGGGACGCTTAGGGTCGTACCTCCGGCAGCTTCGCCTACGTGGACCCCGAGGGGGACGTCCAGGTGAGGAAGTACGCCGCCGCCCCCGGTTCTGGCTTCAGGGTGGCCGCCTCTGACCTCGTCGAGGACACGCCCGCCGTGGCCCAGGTCAAGTCCGCCCACGCCCGCGCCCACCAAGCTGCTAAATCGTGACTGTTGTCACGCTTGATTCTTAACTGACATCAGCTCACTTCCCGAGTAGGCCTTCCTTTTTATATATCAATAAATAGTACCAAGAGCAGATGAATCTTCCTTTTACTTTACCAATATTTTGTTTTAGGAGACTGATACCAATCATGATAACCATGCGCATGATTCTCACATGCCATCCATTACGTCCACATACGTAAGTGAATCACAGTCTCAGAGGTTGTTTTCTTGCTTTTCATGAACAATATAGTTATCGCAGTCCTTTGTACCTTGTCTCGCACCATGACGGATTGCGGACAGCATCAAGGACCTGCAGAGTTTTATTCCCAATTTAACGTGGGAATGGCTTGAGTTGGCCGCATCAAATCGTGTCTAGTCAAAGTGATTCTGCCGCTGACCCGCAACCGGTTAGTGTATCTTAGATATGTGATTATCTACTATTGGAAATTGAGAAAAATTGAGCCCCATGTCCATCCTCTGCCACAGAGATGAAAAGTGAATCTGGTTTCGAAATGCTCGTTTTTTCCACTCACGATAGCCCCTCCTTTTCCCACGCATGTAAGAGACTTTAATTTTCTAATATGCTTTATCCATTCTTTTTTTTCTTTTGTGCGCTCTTGGATTCTACTGGAAAACTGTGTTTCATTGCTTCCGTAGCTGCTCAAATGGCCAAATCACTTTGAAAAGATTATATAAAAATAGGTAGGGAGAAATATAACTCTTATTTGAACTAAGAATATGACAATATCCCCTGTATTAAGGAGTTGTTGAACTTACATACTGACGCATCTGGAATCTCTAGAGGTTCGTATTTTGCACAAGAGGACAGAGATGGTAGCTTACAGGTAGTGCCCAGCTGTTCCCGGAAACTTAGAGATGCCGAAAAAAATACTCTACTACTGATCTAGAGGCTTTAGTTGAAGTTGGAGCCAGTACAACACGATAACTATCTATACGGCCAACGTTTTACGATCTTTTCGGCCCATCACCCCGTCGCCAGGACATTTCAGAGGCTCTAAATCATTCCTAATGTCTGAACTGAGTCATGATTTACCATTAAACTATTACGAGCTGAAGTATAAACCTTGGACTTCCAATGCCATGCCCGATTTGCTCATTAGGAAGGTAAACGACTGAAGTATGGTTGTGTGTCGGTCATTTACAGAAGCTCGATAAGATATCCTCTTCCTCTGAACGAGTTCCAACTACGAGTCTTAACGGCGTCGTCTACCAATTCTGCCATGGCTGTGATTCTGCAGTTAGTAGTTATATGCACATACGTTACGACATAAGGCTCTGAGGATTGCACATCTGACACGACAGCTAATTCATATGTTTATTTTAACTAAAATTTATGGTTTGGGTACATGCGAGTGAAAATGAGAGTGGAAGAGAGCCTTATATAAGGTGTCTTGCACTGTGCTTACCACCGGGAGCGATTACCCTTACTAGAACTCTTTGGGAACACTTTACTGAGGTTTTGTCCCACATTCAGGACAAAGTATATGATATTGTGCATGCGAGGCTGTGTAATCAAAGGTATTGTGTGTATATTTTGGATCTAATACCCATATAAAGTAAGAAATTTTGATTTTATTTTAATTTGTTCCTTGCGTTTCCCTATTTTATACTACCTTTTTTAAACCAACTTTCACCTCTAAAATATGCATTGATAATAATCATTAACTTGATCAATATATACAATTGGATATGAACACGATTAAGATATAAGCGGGGTCAAAATCAGAAGAAAACTGCATCATTCCTTGATATGACAAGTGGCAAGGTTCTTCTCATAGCTCTATACAAAAGTCTATAATACTACAGGTGGATCCTTTTTTTTTTTTTTTTTTTTTTTTTTTTTTTTTTTTTTTTTTTTACCAGAATCGCGGTTCAGGAAGACAAAATAGCAGATGCTGTACTGGCAAATATAAGATATCTTTTAATTTATGAAAGCGTATGTATGTACGCTGGCATGCATACACAATATTACCTGCTAAATAGATTTTCTGCGAATCTATTTTTCCTGGTGTTTAAATATCCTTTCAAAACACACTTTGTGATGTCATGCAGAAGATTAAGCAAGTTGTTGTGATCATGGCTGGTACTGGAATTACTAACAGTTAATGGTCCTGTCAGTGGGGGATACATTCATAATTCATTCACACTGCCCCTTATTGTCAGTGGAAGGTGAAGTCTGAAATATATACATGATGTGTTATGTATATGTCTACTTAATGGGAACAACGAAGGGAAGGGCAAGAAAACACACGAATATGCCGAAGGCCTTTTCACTATTGCCCTGACGAAGCAATAGTGAAAAGGCCTTCGGCATATTCGTGTGTTTTCTTGCCCTTCCCTTCGTTGTTCCTGTTGCAATCTGTTCAACATGAATTCCACACATGTCTACTTAAGTCTACCGTATGTCAGGTTAAGGACTTATGATGATGGACTTTGCGGTCAACGACATATCTGCGTTGAGTATATTGTGTTATCTATCACTGCGTTTCTGTTTATCATTACTGCTCAAAATTCAAATTCGTCACATCCTGCTTATTATATATAAGGAATAAATCGCATCATTCATAATGGCACATTTTATTGTTAGAAAAAAATATATATACAAAGATATAAATGAATACCCGTTGACTGAGCCAGTTTGCAGGTTAAACCAGCGTGACAGCGGAATTTCTTGCTAACGACATAGCAGCTTGTTGGGCGTGGGCGCGGGCGTGGGCGGACTTGACCTGAGCCACAGCGAGCGTGTCCTCGACGAGGTCAGAGGCGGCCACCCTGAAGCCAGAACCGGGGGCGGCGGCGTACTTCCTCACCTGGACGTCCCCTCGGGGTCCACGTAGGCGAAGCTGCCGGAGGTACGACCCAAAGAGTCCCTGGTCTCCACGCGGGTGTTGGGGCCGCCGTAGTGGCCGAAGGTGTACTGGCCGGCCTCGTCCTGGGCGTGGAATTGGCCTCCCACGTGAGGGACGCTGAGGGAGGGCATGGGGGGTTCAGGGGCCATGAGGGGCTCAGGCGCTGCCACCACAGTGACGGGGACAGCGCTCTTGACCACAGGGGCGACTGCCACAGGGGCAGCAGGAGCCACAATCTCTGCACTCTTGACCAGCGGGGCAACAGGGGCCACAGCTACAGGGGCAGCTTCAACGACGGTAAGGGAAGGGGCGGCCTTCACAACGGGGACAGGGACAGGGGCGGCCTTCACAACAGGGAAAGGGGCAGGGGCGGTTAATACCATTCCCAAGTTTACACCTGGTTCAGGAATCTTCATAACAGCTGGAAGGTTCCACTGTGGACTGGCCACAGTTCCTGCCACCGTCNAAGAAGAGAGAGGGAAGAGAGGAGACGAGAAGACGAGAGAGAGATTTTCGAGGAGAGACGAGAGAGAAAAAGGAAGGAAAGGGAGAGAGAGAGAGAGAGAGGGAGAGAGAAGAGGGAAGAGAGAGGATGACAGGACAGATAGGCAGTAGAGTGGAGAGAGATTATAGAGACGAGCGGAAAGGGAGAAAGAGAGAGAGAGAGAGGAGAGTGAGAGTGGAGTGAGATGTGAGGATGAGAGTGGAGAGAGAGAGACGAGAGAGAGAGAGAGAGAGAAGAGAGAGAGAAGAGAGGAGAGGGAGAGGGAGAGGGAAGAGGGAGAAGAGAGAGGAGGAGGATGAGTGAGAAAGAGAAGAGGGCGGAGAGGAAAGAGAAGAGAAGAGAGAGGACACAGAGGATGAGATCGAGAGACGAGAGAGAGAAGAGAAGAGAGAGAAGAGAGAGAGAGAAGAGAGAGAGAGGAGAGAGAGTTGAGGAGGAGGGAGGAGGGAGAGGGAGGGAGGGAGGAGAGCGGGGAGGGGAGGGGGAGGGAGGAGGGAGGGAGGGAGGGAGGAGGGAGGGAGGGAGGAGGAGGGAGGGAGGGAGGGAGGAGAGAGAGAGAGGAGGGAGGATAGGGAGGGAGGGAGGAGGGAGGGAGGGAGGGAGGAGAGAGAGAGAGAGAGAGAGGAGAGAGAAGAGAGAGAGAGAGAGAGAGAGAGAGAGAGAGGAGAGAGAGAAGAGATGAGGAGAGAAGAGAGAGAGAGGGAAGGTTAGAGAGAGAGAGAGTGAGAGAGGAGAGATGAGAGAGAGAGAGAGAGAGAGAGAGAGAGAGAGAGAGAGAGAGAGAGAGAGAGAGGAGAGAGAGAGAGAGAGAGAGAGAGAGAGAGAATTGACCTAAAATGAACGGCATTGAATATTTTCTTGGTATCTGAACGTGATAGAAAAACTAGAAACGTCTTTTTTCATTTCTACTAACTGAAAAGTGGGAAATATTTCCGATTTCCAAACTGTCAATACTTGCGTTAAAACAGGATTTTTCTCTTATTGCGAAATTAATTAGGTTTGATTTGAAATAGTCCATT